TATAAATAGTCCATTTACCATTTAACTTTGGGCTGAAAGCCACAGACAGGGTAACGATGTAGGAAAGTATTAACAGACTGACTAACACATTGTAAGTGGTTTTTCATAGGACTTGTTGACAATAAGAAAAATACAAAATGTCATCAACTTTATTTATATTAATCTTCATTCTGCATGCTGTGGTCAGAAATCCATCAATACAATGTCAAACAGGCAAAGATTCACATGGTCATAGCAATATTGACATCTGATTCTTTATTTGGTCGCACAGAAACTCACATTCGCTGATCTCCATCTCAAAGTGTGATGAGGGTCTTCTCTTGATCCTGCTGTTGTTGATGACACCATAGTTTCCTCCTGAGGGACCCAGGTAAGAACTGGAGGTAAAAACACAGCAACATGTGTGAAAATGGGACATTTTTGTCACTGCATTCTTAATATACCTAGAAAATAAAATGCATTGAATATAAACGCATTTTGTGTTAAGTCGTTCCAGCACCTCATCTCTGAAATAAAAAGAAATCTTGGAGAGTGGATGGAGAATCAAGGTGATGGTGGGAGCCATTAACGGCGGTGTGATTACATTGGTGGCATTGATTGAGTGTGCATGCAGAGTTTTAGCCCAGTCTCATTAAGTCTGGTTACTAGCTGATTCTACCTCAAGGGGGGTGAAATAGATCAATGCTTCCTGCAACAAACAGACCCAAGAGAAGGAAGGAGGGAACCTGATTCCCAGACCTCCATGACAGATGGTGAAACCATAGATGTAGTTACTGTGAAAAAAGTGCTCTTGTGTTACAGAAAGAAACTGTGTGGAAAATCCTTTTTGGAGTAGAGAATAGATGAACAGTAGGAGGGCTTTGATAACGTCTGCAAATGAATGCCTTTCTTCATGAGTGTAAGCTCTGAGTTGCCAACTCTAAGAGCCCAAAAAGAGCTTTAAGAGTTCAGTTATGTTGCCTTTTGTCTGTCTAAATTTAGCTGCAATTAAAAAAAGACGTAGAGTTTCAAAATTGATATTTTCAGGTATAAGTACTAAATGCACAGAAAAGCAATTTCATGATGCAACTCATGTTCGGTAGCCAAACGTTTTTAAGAGTAAATTTAGCGTGAGAAATGTGAGGTCTCTTTATAACAGCACACATCCTGCTGTCATGTATACATAACCGTGCAGCGTAGCTGCTATTAATCAAATGGGAAGTCATGAAATCCCAGCAGTTGAGGTTTCCTATGAAACAGAAACTTGCCATAGTTACCAACGAAGCGGCATCATCATAATAACTAGTAACATCTCTGGAAAATGTACTGTGGTATTTTATAGTTTAGAGTTCCTCGTCTGTTTGCATACCAGGGTCCTCTTTTAAGAAAATGTTCTTAGATTTATAGTTTAACCGAGTTGTTCATTTCCACATCAAAGTAAGTAGTTTTATAAATAATTACTTATACACGATTGAATTGTCAGTTTTATAAATGAGGCCTATGTGAATGAGGAATGAAAAAGATATTCCATTTTTCATCGCTCACTCACCACTGCTTTTTCTATTGCGAAATGGGTAGTTTTCACGCTTACATAAGCCGCTGCAAACATTATTCAAATGAAACCATCTAAGAAAGGAAAATCAATTTTAAGAGGTCAAGGCAGGAAAATCACTCTGCTCACCACTCACTGATGGGGGGTCAATTTTAAGAGGTCATAAGGCAAAAAGGTTGTGAGCCACAGTGCTTACATGCCAGATCTCACCTGGTGAAGAAGGGGTATGTAGACAGGTACTGCTGAGGCAACAGGGGTCCTGGGGAGGGAGCTGAAGGCCCCCCAGAACCTACAGAAGATCCAGAAGCTCCAGGGCTGGCCACAGGCAAGCAGGTCAGTTGACTGCGGCGGGGGTCCCCATGGGGACCATGTAGGAGGTTGGGAATTGGGTGAAGGGCAGTCAAAGGGGTATTGGTGAGCGGGAGAGGGGGTTTGCTGTGACCGAGACTGATGACTGGAATGTGTGGAGGGAGAGAAGAGGATGACGAGGATGAAGGGAAAGATGTGGTGGAGGTTGGAGGTGGTAGTAGGCATGGAGATGTTTTGGCTGGTGCCGGGAGGAGCGGAGGTGGAGAGGAAAGAGTTGGGGACCCGTTGGCAGAAGCAGCAGGAGCTGTTGTGGTTGTTGGTCCTCCCCGCCTCTCCTCCTCCTCCTCCTCCTCTTCTTCGGTCTCCATGACAATGGGCTCAGGTGCAGCAGCTGTATCTATATCTGCGTGTTGACTGGTTAACGTCGTCGCCGTGGCAATGGGGGACCGAATCGAGCCAGCAGCGGGGACATCCGTGTGTCCCTTGTGCCCTGTCTTGTTAGCAGGATGCGGGCTGCTGACAGCGTCCGAGGGTGTCTTGTCCTGAAGGGGACTGCGCTGCTCTACAGAGGCACAGGATGGGGAGGAGGCTGAGGATGAGGAGGAGGAGCGATGTAGGTTGGGGGGAGATGCAGGTGTGCCGGTGGGGTTCAGCTTCTCCATCATGGTGGTGAAGTCCTCTGGGGGAATTTGCGTCAGTGCCAAGCTTCTGTTCCTCTCAGCTGCCCTGCCTGGGAGTGCGTCAGTGTGTCTTGTCCCAGTGGTCTTTATATGTGTGTGAGAGTAACTAACATGTCCATGGGTACCATCTACAGCTTGTCCTGAAGAGCCCTTTAAACCTCTCCTTACTAAGAATATGAGTCTTTTCCATATAGACGACTTTGCTTTCCTGCAGATTATACAATACTTTGCTACCTCTCTAAAAATGTAGATTCAACCCTGGAAAACCTGAAATTCCTCAGTTGCTCTTATCCTCTCCAGAGTCAGGATGTGAGTCTTCTGTCATCGGCTGGCTATATCTACACTGTGAGTAAACGTGAGCCTGTATTCATTCCCCTACTACAACGGTAAAGGAGGGGCCTGTAAAACCAATGTTTTCATGTCCGTATGTTGCAGTCTTTAATGGACGACTATCTCTGTGGTATCATCTCTGTGTGCAGCGTGGAGCTGATGTGGTTGTTGCGGTCTGATTTGGTGTGGATTTTTCTTACAGTACATCCTGAGCATCAGATTCTTGTTATTTTTTTTTTATTTTTTTTTTTAACAAGTCTCCAGTGGCTGTTCTTAATGAATCTGTCTGTCTATTTGTCTGTCTGTGTGTGTGTTGAGGATGTGAGTCAAAATCCTTTTAAGCGTTCAAAACGTCCTGGACTGCTGAAGATTGGATTGATATCAAAGAGTCTGTTGAACAAAAGAAAATGGAAAAAATGCACCCACGGTATATATTTGGTATATATTTAGTCAAAGGAATAAGATATGAAAAGGTCAAAATTTGCAGCAGCACCACAAGAGCCTGTATTAAAATGTAATGAGTAGTTGTTGCTGGTTTCCTCAGTGGAAGCTGGTCCACAGTTTAAAATCTGAATTCAATTCATGGAAATTTACAGATTCATCTCTTACTACAGCCCTGACAGGATGTTGAAATGCTGGATAACAAGTGAATTCAATGTTGTACTCTTCTTCAGTTTGTTTTTAGTCCGCTCTGCAAGGCGTAACACTCTTATGATTTCTCAGGTTTTGCAATCGCAATTGTTCCTGTTTTGTCTTTTCTAGTGGTCATGACTTTATTTTGGACAGTTCCGTCTTTCACAATGATGTACGGACGATGCTAGCAGGTAGTTTTTTTTAGGCGCTTTTTTGTGTGTGTGTTATATGTGTCATATTTTGGTAAGAACTCTTAAGGAAGCCACACAGAAATAGAGTTACAGACGAATATTTAATAATTTGGGTTTCAGTGTAAAATACACTAGGCCTATATGGTTAGTTTTGTTATATAATAACAATTCATTTTTCAATTACTATTTTGCTGTGGTTGCCAGGAAGCCCCTATGACTAACCATATATTTTTACCCATTTATAAATATTCATTATTCAAATGCATATTTCACTGCAATTGACTTTATATTTGTCCAATATGTCTGTTATTACTGTTTATATTTTATTGGTTTAATTATTGTTTAAGTCAAATTGTATATTTATCATAACCACTAGACTGTCACAAAACAAATATAACTAGTTAATACAGTAAATGGCCACTCAACTAACCATCTTACATGATTATTTATTTACCACCAAATAACTAAAGAGAAACTGGATTATTTGCCAAAAGTACACACTGTATAAGACAAATGGCACTTAATTTTCTTGTTATTATTAACAATTATATTATTATGTTTTTAAATAAATATTAGAAGCTGCAAACCACTCATGATCTACAGGCTGCATAAAATAAAGTAAAACATATTAAATAAGTACTCACAGATACATTATGACATCCAGTGAGGCTCGGCTGTCTGTCATGCAAAATCCGTCAGAGATCAAGCGATCTGTGAACGCACATGGTGTATCTCCTCAGTGTTTAATGTCCTCCTCCTCCTCCTCCTCCTCAGGTCGATCACACTCTACTGCAGCCTGTCACTGTCTGTCATTCTCTGAGGTTAGAATTGGAGCCAAACTGTCTGACACCACTTAAAACACCATATCATACCCATGTGAACCTCTAAAAACAAAAGTCCCAAATATTCACCAAGAGATTATCAGAATGAGACCAAAAGTCAGTCCAAACGCACATATTTGTTTTTTGTTGTGAAGTTGCTCCTTTGAACAAAGACACACTCAAAGCGTGGAGAAGGATGGTGTGGGTCTCTGTCCATATGTCACTCTCACCTCTCTCACTTCTCTCACCTCGGTCTCTCTCTCTTTCACCGTCCTGTCTATCCCTTCCTTTTTTCACTATCTTCGCCAAGAAGACACAATGCTCCAGTTGGTTGCCAGTCGGAGAGCTCTGGTACTGGCAAATGTGAGGTGGGAGAGAGCGAAAGAGAAGGGGGAGAGAGAGGGAGAGAGAG